AAAAAATCAATATCATGATAGAAAATAAGCAAAGTATTTTAAAGAAAAAAATAAGCAAAAGGCATAAAAGACCAAGCGCATGTTAAAAAAGGGGGGAAAATGAATGTGTAATCAAGGAAATATTAAACCAGTGAACTTATTTTTTAATTATTTAAGATAAACACTATAGGCCAGGGAAAAGAGAGATAAAATCCTTAATCACTGTTTGTGTAAATGTAAATTTGTGGGGGGTTTGGTTTGCAGTACCAGGGATTGAACTCAGGGACTTGCATTTGCCAGGCAGGTGCTTATGCCACTGAGCTATATATCTCTGGCTCCTATAAATGTAAATTTGTATCACTTTTTTAGAAAGCAATTGGTCAGGATTACAAAACATGTAATATATCCTCTCGTCTTTTCTGGGAAGTCCTAAAGAAATGAAAATGTAACCAAAGCTTCATGATTACAGTATAACTCTGAAAAACTGAAAATGAATATTAAGTGTTAGTAGAGTGGTTTTATAAATTATGGAACATCCATCTTCATGGTCAGTGTCTTAAAGGAATGTTTTTAAAGAGTATTTAGTGGGACTGGGGAGATGGCTCAGTGGAATAAATGCTTCCCTGGCAAGCGCAAGGCCTGAGTTCAATCCCCCATTCTGAAAAAAAAAAAAAAATTCAAAGCAAGGAAAGAAATCTTTAAGTCTTGCTAGTGGAGGTACAAATACAAATAGTTAAATTGTTTCCAGGCTAGCTCTGAGATTTCCTCAAATTTAACCCACCCTGCTGACTTGCTGTTGTTGAAAAAGAATTTTCAGGGTGGATCAGAAAAAAGGCATGAGTAGGGTTTATTAGGCAAAGGCAGTTTCAGGGTGGATCAGAAAAAAGGCATGAGTAGGGTTTATTAGGCAAAGGCAGCGATTATAAGACATACTCCAGAAGGGAGTGCAGATACTCAAAGAAATGTGATACAGTTTGGAACTTTAATTTTCTTGGGGAGAAAAGCTCAAAAAGAATATGCCTACCCCACTTCCCTCTTCTAAAGACATAAACAGTTTGGAGATTTTTTTGTTTTGTTTTCTGAATAGGTAATTTAAATAGTTTCTGGATTCACATATCCCTTTGTTTATTTTCTTAAATTGTACCAATTTAAGGCCTTCTAATGATGGGTCTGGTAGGGAGGGAATGTAAACCTGGCCCAGGACTGTTGGCACTGGGGCTGTCCTCCCAGGGCCAGGCTCCTATTCCTTACTTTCTTAATTGAGCAAATTTATGGCTTTTTCGTGATGGTCTGGTAAAGAAGTATAAATCTAGCCAGGGAATTTTGGCATGGGACTGTTTTTAGTGACTTTGGCCAAGTCCTGGAAGTTGCAGTCTTCTTACAAAGTACAATTTTTAGTTATCATTTTCTTGTCTCCTTTCTATGTATCTTTCATTGTCACTGGGATGGGTTTGTGAGGTCCCCAAGGCTGAAATTAGGCACCTATCCCACCCTTTTAAAATAAATTTGCAGGGTGAGGGATACAGCTCAACAGCACAATGCCTGCCTGGTAAGCATGCAGTCCTGAGTTCGGTTCTCAGTAAAAATAAAATAAAATAATAAAATTTGCAGGTTTATTAACTCCTATGGCAGAAAAAGAATTCTCAGCATACACCAGTAAAAGAGACATAAGTTTATTAGCTCACACTCAAACAATGGAATGTGGGCGCTCAGAGAAATGGGACATGTGTGAGTCTGGAGTAAGGAACATTTAAGGGGTGTCTTCAGGATGGGTAATCTAGGATGTGTATTTTCACTGTCAAGTTACAATGCAAGCCATCTACATATGATTGAAGTGGAGATATGCTGCTGTATTAGTTACTTTTCTTGTTGCTGAGACACAATACCCTACACCCAAAGTCAAAGAAGGAAAGTTTTACTTTGGTTCACAGTTTGTAGAGGTTTTAATCCATTAGTAGGTGGCTCTAAGGCAGGGTAGTATGACAGAGGTGCATCATAGAGGAGAAAAAAATTCATGATGTAGAAGGCTGAAGGGGGGCCAGCCAAATAGCTCAGCAGATTAAAGCACCTACAAGCAGGGGCAGGGGCTGGGGGTTCAATCCCCGGTATGCTGTGATGGCCCCATCTGCCAGGGTGGGCTGAGACAGCAGCTGAGACTGGGCGTGGTGGCATGTACCTGTAATCCCAGCTATTGGGAGACTGTAAACAGGTGGATCACTACGAATCCAATCTAGTAGTGAGACCCTGAACACCCTGTAGACCCTTCCATAAAATAAAAAATAAAAATAAAAAGAAGGCAGAGGAGAGGCAGCAAAAGAACCAAGCAGTAAGTAAAGGCAGAACCCCTCTTTCTTTATATTCTCTCCAGGCTGCAGTGGGACAGGTACACTAACCCAGGATGGGCCTTCCCATCATCCACACCCATAAGTATGCCTGATCAATCAGTGGACTAATTTAGTAATCATACACCCTTAATCCCAGCATCACACACTTTAGATACAGTCACCTCTGAAAAGCCCCACCTATGACTGCATGAGGTGAGGCTTTCGGGGGACATTGGACACAGGTCTACTAACTGCCCACCAAAATTGCTGCTTCTTTGAGGAAGCATAGTGTACCAGTGAAAAGGACAGAGCTAGTGCCTGATTCACAGGCTTGTTGTAAAAGGCTCTTCCCCCCCACCCCTTTGAGCTCATTTTGTAACCCAGGCTAGTCTCAAACTTGCAGTGATCCTCCTGCCTCAGCCTTCTGAGTACAGGGATGTAAAAGGATCTTCACGGATATTTTGAGTGAGTTTCCTGTAAAAGAAAACAGATTATTTTGAAGCTGTTGTTTTCTTAAAAGTATAGTTTTAAAATGTTGATTTTTCCATTTCTTTTCTACCTAGTTTTTATTTTTTCCCTCCAATTTCATTATTTCCTTTATACTACCTCACAATCATTTGGAATACAGTTTGACAATTTGTTATAAAGTGGAATATGTCTTTCTTTTCTATTCTCACAGTCTCATTTCTAGATTGAAATTAAAAACCATGCATGAGAGAACCAGTAGCTTCTTATCCTCATCCTAGCAAGCACTTCTATTATCAGTTAATTTTTAAATTTTTACCCTTATATGAGATATAGAATGGTGTGCAATCGTAATTTTAATTTGTATTTCATCAGTAATTATGCTATGCTTCTCTAATGAAAAATGAAATGAAAACCTGTATTATTCACCTGACCTGCCCATAGATACTTATAGCAGCATTACTTGTAGTCACCAAAAACTCGAATCAACTCAGATGTCAACACAGTAATGAATTTTAAAATTCATTATATCCATGAAATACAATGCAGGAACTTCTTTTTTTTATCTAGGTAAACATAATTGTACAGGGAAAGGGAATATGGTATTACTACAATGGTAATTGTGAGGGAAGAAAACATAAAATAAGCCCTAAAACACTACATTATATTATGAAAACATGCCAAAGAAAAGTGACCACAAAGCTTATGAAATGTTAGCTTAAATACTTTATTTATTTATTTTTGGCAGAACTGGGGATTGAACTCAGGCCCTTGTACTTGCCAGGGAAGCACTTATTCCACTGAGCCATTTCCCCAGCCCCTAGTTTAGCTATTTTAGAAGAAGCTAAGAAAGGTGCAGAAAAGATGAAATCGTTGAAAGAACTTCATTAATTAGCAATACAAGAGCTCTGAAAAGAGAGAACTAGAATATAGCATGTGAAATGAGAACTGATAAAACTCAGGAAATGTTGAAGGAGATATTTTTAAATGACAAATCATAAAGGAGACAGGAGAGAATCTCTGTCACAGAAAACAGGGAGAGTAGGGGCCTGGGAGATGGCTCACTAGAATAAGCACTTCCCTGGCAAGCACAATGGTCTGAGTTCAATCCCAGTTCCGAAAAACAAGTAGAAAACAGGGAGAGAAATAGAGGCTAGGAAGGAGAAAAGCAAGAAGAGTGAAGCAGTTTTTGACTTTTTTGGCAAAAAGAAGTAACAGTTCCACAAATATAAATTAAAACACAGTGGTGATAATTATTTATAACATAGTGAATATATGTCATGTGAACTTTAAAATGCTTAAAATTTTAAATTTTATTTTACCATAATAAAAAGCATAAGCCTGCCATGCATGGTGGCACATGTGTATTGAGAGGCTGAGGCAAGATTACAAGTTCAAGTCCAACCTGGAAGTTCAGCAACTTAGTGAGACTTTGTCCCAAAACAAAGATGAAACAACAACAACAACAAACCTGATGGCTGTTGCTCAGTGTGAAGACTCTGGATTCAATCCGTAGTCTTGTAAGAAAAAAAAAAAAAAAGGAAAGGAAATCAAAGGGAAAAAGGAAGGAAAGGAGAAGAGAGGAGAAGAAAAGGAAAGGAAAGAGGAAGGAAAGGAAAGGGAAAAAAGAGAGGAAAGGAAAAGGAAAGAGGAAGGAAAGGAAAGGAAAAAGGAAGGACAGGAGAGAAGAGTAGAAGAGGGTAGAGGAGAGAAGAGGCGAGGAGAGGAGAGGAGAGGAGAAGAGGAAAAATAAAGGAAAGGAAAGAAAAATGAAAGGAAAGGAAGAAGGAAATGAGATGAGAGGACAGGATAGGACAGGACAAGAAAGGAAAGGATAGCTTACCACTCTTTGAATCTGAGAAGTAAACCTGTAACATTTGTCATTGAGTTGATACAACTGTTGGATTTTTAAAAAACAGGAAAATTGTTGTTGTAATTATGGAAAAATAGAGCAAGTCATTTGGAAAGAAAATCACATTGCATTAGATTTTTGGGTTGTAACATTTTGTGGTAGATAATAAAACAACAGTTTAAAAAATATTCAAAGAAAAATAATTCATGGTTCATCAAACTCACCTTTAAGAATTCTGGTTGTAAAGGCAATTTTAAAACTTAACTAGAGATAGTCCAGGCCTGTTTCCCTGTGGCAGCTCCGCCTTGCTGGAGAAGGAAAGTGCGCCAGATTCTTTCAGGTAGTCTAAAGGTCTGGAGGGCTCATCAAACGAGCATACCTGTCTGCAGGACTCTTGGTCTTTTGGGCCCGACACGAATCAAGGTGCAGGAAGAGGCAGGAAAATCCCCTGGATCCCTGCAGGATTAATTTGTTGGAAAACAAAATAAAAAATACTCAACATGCAAAACTCTTGTGAAGAAAATGAAGGAAAACCAGAGAATATGCCAGAGGCAGAGGAACACTGCCCTTCAGAAGATTCCCCACAAGAAGCAGAAAGAAACCCTCAGCCTTCTGAAGGAGGTATAAGCCAGGAAGCAGAAGGAAACCTGAGAGGAGGGCCTGCTCCAACTGGCCGGGAATTTAAAGAAGACATTCCAGTTAGGCACTTGGACCCTGAAGAAATGATAAGAGGAGTAGATGAATTGGAAAGGCTTAGGGAAGAGATAAGAAGAGTAAGGAACAAGTTTGTGTTGATGCATTGGAAACAAAGACCTTCGTGCAGCCGTCCTTATCCTGTGTGCTTCAGGCCTTGAATTCTTTTTTTCTGTGATATTAAAATCTGGCCCTTGTTTTCTTCCTGTTAGCATTTCCTCATGTATCTTTGACCTTTGTTTTGCTTTTAATTACCTGGCGGTATTTTATTTTAGGTAGTTTTCTTATTACCAGCTTCTCATTGGATTTTGAATTTTGCCCTATTTTCCTGATTTAATTTTCAATTGGAAAGTTTCACACATATGCATGGAAATACATTTAATCTGTTATACAGTGAAACATGATAGGTTACAAACATCATATTTAATATCAGCTCACATATGTAGGATGAAATTCCAAACTGTGTGTGCACCATATATATATATATATATAACACTGAACTGAACCACGCAAATTTCTTTGTGGTGCGAATTATTGTTTTTGTTTTACTTTTTGCTTATGTGTATTTTTTAGTGAACATTTATCTCATCTATACAAAAAGCTGAGAATTTTTTTATAAGTCAGAAAAGTAAATTGCAACCAGCTTAAGGGCAACGGGGGCACTTGAACTCTTGATGAAAGAACTATAAAAAAAGAAATGTAAATCTCACATTACCTCTGGATCTCAGCCAGAGGAATAAAACTGGCAATTCTCAAAGATAAAAAAAAAAATAATAAAAAAATAAAAAATAAAACTTAACTAGACATTTGATTCAAGGATTGGCAAAAACAGACCAGCCAGTTTCCCTAATTAGCAAAAATAAAAACTCAGCTAGCCTTGGCATTCCAACACCAGCTGGGGCTTCTAAGATAAGTGTAACTCAGCCAGACAGTGCATCCTATTAGCTTATTTCCAAGACTTATCGCTTAGAGACAGACCCAACTCAGCCTTAGACAATGATTGATTCTCCCTGCTTACCCTAGCCCTGACCTACCTGTCATATGATAGTAATCCCCAATTAACTTGCTTAGAATAAGTCTGCCCAGCAATATATGACAAGATAATGTGTAACCAAGTGTAAAATGCCCTGTTATCTGCCTTTTGTACTTCCTTCTAACAACCTATATAAGTGACTGTTTAGCTACAAGACAAGGCTGGTGATCTGGAACTGAGATTCCCCCCAGTCTGCTAGCATAATGTTTGCCTTCCAAAGTTCTTTGGTGCTGCATGTCTTCTGACATGGTCCTAATTTATCCGCAACAAGTCCATTGACAAATATCTGAAAATAGGAAACAATTCAGGGAAGATTGTTTTAATGAATCCTTCCTGAAGATTACACTACACAACAAATTTCAGACTACCAACAAATGCTTTAAAAAGTTTCAACAAAACAAGTGGTAAGCATCTGGCATGATTGTGTATAGCAGCAGGATTAAAAGATAAGGAGATGTCTTGGGGTCTCAGTGCCTGCCTGGCAAGCACAAGGACCCAAGTTCAATCCCCCGTACTGCATTCCGTGCTGGCCCCAGAACTGGGAGTAGTGACGTACACCTGTAATCCCAGCACTGGGGAGGCTGAGACAGGAGGATCACTACAAGTCTGAGCTGCATAGTGAGACCGTGTATCAATTTAAAAAAAAAAAAAGATGAGGGTTATACTGATAGAGTAGTACCTAAATATTATATAGTCTGTTAATGGAGAAATAATATAACCCACTGTCAAATAATAAAGTAAATAATTAATAGTAATAATAATAATAAAGTAATGACTTTGTTTTAAAGAAAATAAAAAATTTGCCTTGAACCAGATGTGAGTGACCATAGTCTAGGAATATGGTTCATATTGCTTTGAGTGACACATTCCACTGTAGAAGAGGTTATGTAAACTTTCATAGTCACTTAACAAAAGAAAGTCACATATTGATGCATTTACTGAATATATTGATGGGACTATCATACAGGTGTTGTGGGACCTGAACGGGCAGAAAACAGGTTAATCTACCATTGACAGTACAGCTACAGTAGACCTAACCTCCTGCCCCATTAGGTCTGTCTAAGTTGATGTATAGTAAGGGACTCTAATGTTCTAGAGAGGGTAAAATCCATGTAAAAATTGTACATAAAAGGAGCCCATTATAACTTAAGCAAGAACCAGCACTAACCATGATATATACATAACTTGTTATCTGATTGAAGAAAAATAAAACACTTCAAAATGAACAGAAGATGGCAGACAACAACCACACAGTTAAATAGAAACCAAAATGAGAGTCAAATAATTTCAGCTGATGAAAAAGCTCTGCAAAATGTTCAGCCCCAGAGCTAAAAACAAACAAACGAAAAAACTTACTTCATGACACTCCTGAGTTAAATCTCAACATTTGTAGAAATGAAAAGCCTCAGCTCTAAATTTGAAATGCCAAAACAAATGGACATAAAGGAAGATGTGAAAAGTGAATTTCCTGAATGCAAGAAATTGGTAAAAATGGAGTTTCTGGGAAGAAGAAGCAATAGCTAAGATAATTTAATTTTTTAATTTATTTTTATTTATTTTTATTTTTGCAGAACTGGGGATTGAACTCAGGCCCTTGCGCTTGCCAGGGAAGCGCTTATGCTACTGAGCCATCTCCCCGGCCCCTAATTTTAAAATTTTTATACATAGAAAGATTTTGGAAATAAAGGAAGACATAAATGTATACATAGAAGAGGCTCAAGCTGGCCATATGTCTCAATGATGGCATACTGTGTAGTGTGGTAGGCCCTTAGTTCCAGCTGGTGCTGCTAGCACCAGCACCACCAGCACTAGCACCACCAGCACCAGCACCACCAGCACCAGCACCAGCACCACCAGCACCAGCACCAGCTCCAGCACCACCAGCACCAGCACCAGCACTACCACCAGCACCACATATGCACGTGCACGCACGCACGTGCGCGCGCACACACACACACACACACAGTATATTGTATATTGAGAATGTTGATCCAGAATGGTTACCTCTAAGTCATGTAAAACTGATAGACTTTCAAAATAATGAAGAAAAATTCCTCTGGGCTTCTAGGCAGAAATAAATTAGCAATAGACTTTTTAGCAGTGACACATAGAGTTAAACACCCAGGGATAAACATAGTTAAAGCCTATGAAAGTTTAGGCCAAGTATTTTATAACTGCCATTTCCAGGAAAAAAAAAAAACCCTGATAAATTCCACCATAATAAAAGTAAATATATGTTAAGTGCCATGAACAAAGACAAATTTAGACATATCACAGAGCTAATCTCCTTAATGAAAATAATTTCCTGAAAAATCTAACCAGTAAGACTATTAACCCAATAGAAAAATTGGCCAAAGATATGAAAAGAGAATTTAGAGGAAAAGAAAGACAAATGACAGATATATAAAAAATGTTTCAACTTTAGTCGTACACATGAGAGATATAAATTAAAGCTATGCTAAAGAATTAAAGCATTCTAAAGCTCACCCCAAGCCCAGAGTTACACAATATATTTTATAGACTGTGAAGAAATAGTCATTTTGATACATTGCTGATAGATGCTTACATAACCATAAACTGTATGGAAGAGGATATGTCAATATCCAACAAAATTACATGTACATTTATCCTTTGGCACAGGCATTTAACTTTTAGTAATCTGTTCTAGAAATACACTGAAATAAAATAAAAGCTATCAGCTGGGAATAGTGACACACAGCTGTATTTCCAGGACTCTGAGAAGCTGAGGCACAAAGATCACAAGTTCAAACTTAGTCTGGACAACTTAGTGACTTAGGAAGACTGCATGTTAAGAGTCCTAGCCCAGGTCCGGTGAGTGTGTGGAGAGCTTCCTGCTACCCTGCGCCGGCGGGACCAGTCCCAGCCCAGGCGCAGCGTGGGCCGGACCCTCT